GACCACGAAAGCAAAACGACGAAGATCGCGAGCCCTAGGGTTTTTCTTTTCTTTCTTATGATCGGGGTGGTGTCTATCGGGTTCGAAAAGAACCTCCTATATCCGATAAAAGGGTCAAATGAGTTTCGAACCCAAACCAAACCCAAACCAAACCAAACCCACACATTTGAACCGATAAATGGGCTTATTGGCCGATTTTTAAAACATGAAAAATCGGCCGACATGGCCAATATTTCGCCGATATATCCGATATCTCCCTGAAAAATGACATGCGACTTAAAATCTCCTGATTCGTGTCGCTCGATCTCTCAATGCGATATATCGGCCGACATGTCCGACATTTCAGCCGATATTTAAAACACTGTTCATACATATGTAAGAACTATAATATAGTTAATATATACCTCTTCTTAATTTATAAGTTTAGTAATTTTAATATTTGAAATTAATATTATAAGTATCAACTATTAATTTTGATTAGTTTATATAATTTCTTGTATTGTTAAGAGAAGTCTAATGAATTCACACTTCACTCTACTAAATATCTGATCATCATCACCACCAGTTTAAACTGCAACCTTTTTCTGCTGAGGAAATTGGGATAACCTCCGGGTTAGAACTCGACTTTAAGAAAGCTCCATAAAGTGACCTAATTTACAATTGTCTGCTGAGTTACGTCAACTCACCGAGTTGGTACCGTCCTAAGCTATTTTAGATGATGTATGGGTTACTTGTTAAATGTCAAATATTTTCACTTACCTTGAATGGTATGAACAAAGTAAGCTACGGAAGGAACAACTAATCTTATATCACTTATCCACTTTCAGAAGGTGTGTTATCCATCATGCATGGAAATAATAAGCATGGCATGGCATAGTTTGTATAAGACCTCGGATATTCTGGGAAATTCTCTACCGGTTGTTTAGTTTTGATGTATGAGCAGCTATAATTTAGCTCCTATTGCTGCAGCTGAAGCAGCATATTTTGAAGTAGCTGTATGTGTAAATACAGGATCCACACTTCTTTCTTTTCTTGTACCTGATGTGTAGCAAATTGCCTTATAGTTCAGATCCTATCCTGCAGTTGCAGCACATTTGTGTGATCCCAAAAGCTCTCTCTTTTGGTGTGGCACCACCTTTTTCTTATTGTTTTCTTCATCGTCATCAAGAAAAAAGCTGTAACTTGTTTCAAGAGTTTTTTCACCCCAGTACCTGATATAGTTCATATTCAATCCTGCAATGGCAGCACATTTGTCGAATAAATTCCAGGATTACCAGGAGTTGCAGAAGCTCCATAAACTCAAATACAAGCCCCACTCAAATGTGATAAGAATCACATATACTTATATAGTTCAGCATATTATTGACTGCACTTCCTCATAATTGTATATTCTCATTTTTAATATATGGTAAAAAGTCGTAGCCTCATAGGTAGTCATATTTTATGTAAATGGCTACATTTCAGCATATTCATCTAAGTCCAGAATTAAAATAATAGTCCCCTACAAATTTTTTTTGTGGACCCACCTATTTTGAGTACTGTGGTGATTAACCATCTAATGCAGTAAATAATTCTGTTAATGCTGAACTCCTACACTTTTACCATCAGAACAGGTAGAACACCATTCCCATTTTTAAGCTTTCGCAGCCCTTATTTCTTCTTTCCATTTCCTTGGGCCTCGCATCCTTCTGTCTAGAACCTTTCTTTATCTCCAATGGTTGATATTTTTCCCTTTTCACTATTCCTTTTTCGTTTTAAGCTCTAGCATACTCTTTTCCACCCTTATCAATATTTCTTCCATCAGTATGCCATCACTTTTTGTGCATGAGTTTTATAGCACAAGGGCAAAGAGGAAGTGCTGGTTTACTTTAGCGAGATGGAAGAGACATGTTGGTCAACAGATATTTTAGTCATCTCAGGTCCATGGTTCGCCTTAACTGTCGTTCCATTAAAGCTTTGGAGAGAATGATCGTAAGGTCTAACATGACTGAGTTCCTATATATATTTTAGGAAACATACAAATCCAAATTTTCTTTGAGAACCTAAGATGAACTTAAGATATACATGAGTTACATATCCAAATAAGCCTTTTCCTTTTCACATTTCCGTCTTCTACCATTTAGATAAATGTGTAGTTTGTTAACTTCTTAGTTCTTACTAGCTATATGTTATCTTGATTAGTTGGAGTTATTTTTCCTCTTGTTTTCTTTCTACTTTTTAGTGTTCAATTTCTTTCAGTATGAGAGTAGAATTACAATTTTTACATTATATCTATAGGATATGTATCTGTAGTTTTGTATCCTTTGGATCATGTAAGACCTGCCTCTACCTCCTGTCATGTCCTTAATTGAACTTCCTTTGTGTTTTCAAGGTTCCTTGTACCTTAATTTAGAATGAAAACATGAGGCTTATTGAGGGTAACTCTTTTATAAGAAAGAGTATTTGTTTGTTGCAGTTATGTAGTTTGAATTATTATTCTCCTTTATGAGATTTCTACCTTTATGGAATCTAATATAAAATCATAACTTGAGACTGTTGATGGTAATACATGTTCGTTTGTTTGTTGACATTCTAACAAAAGTGCACATCTCACATTTGTCTCATTGGATGAACAAGTCAGTGTGAATTTATTTTAATGTTACTACTACTACTACTACTATTTGATTTGACTTAATTCTAACTGTAATTTACCTTTTTTAGTTTAAAGAAGGGAATATAATTCCTGGTAGCGGGCCAAACTTTGTCTTGGAGGTATGTTTCCATTACTTTTGTGGGACAAAAAGTCTTTTCATTGTAATCCTTTAGGTGTTATCTTCGTCTGTACACACTTCATAACCCCTGGGTAATTTGTTTTCCTACACCACCCTAGACAGAAAAAGGTGATCTGCCATCTGCAAATTCTACTTTGTTAATATGGGTAACATCTCTGTTGTTTGACGTGTACTTCCATGAAAGTTTACTTAAACCTCACATTCCTCAACTTGAGAGTTAAAATGAGAAACCTTTTATTTTCATTGATGTTACTTTTTTAATTTCTTAATTATTTATTGTCTTCTTTCATGTTCTTTAGTTCTACTGTACTAAAAAGCACCGTTTTGTGATGCCCAAGTGTTCCAACTAGTTGACCAGTGCTATAATATCTAGATGATCTTCTTTCTGAAAACCAGTGGACACATACTTTTGCTATTTCTTTGCTATGCAGGCAGATGAATATGATTGTTGCTTTCTTGGATTGTCTCCTTCCGTAGCTGTGGTTACTAGTGTGGAGTGGGATCATGTTGACATCTTTCACGACGAGGTTTTTTCTGGACTCTTTTAATTATCACGGATGCGACCCTCATGACTGGTTCTGATTTTGGTCTTGACTTTGTGCATTTAATTTCCATTCCTCCTAGGGCTAGAATAGGGATGACAAGAAGCCTTCAAAAATCTTCTCTCTCCACTCTATCTATTGTGTGCCTGGTTTCAACAATACTAATCGCCTCTGCTTAGTTGAAGCCTCACTTCTTATTGCTCATGTCTAAATCTGTCTTCCATCAGGGTGTGACGACTTTCCAAGTGTTACAAAATGTATCTTCGTGTATATTTTCGCATTCTCTTTCAACATTATTTAAAGCTTGCATATACATTTATCTCTACTTTTTTGTGTGTTTTTCATAAACCATCTTTGTTTCTTAAGTTATTAGGTGATAAATGTAACATGGTTTTAGTGCTGTTATAAAGATTCATTTTTGGTTATTAGGGGTTTTCAAAGTACTTCACTCACCTTTCCTCATGTTAACCAGCCTACTTTCTTTTTCCTCTGGTTTAGATTGAACACATCATGGCAACATCTGTCATCAATTTGTTTAAGCTCTGGTATGTTGTGGCTTTCTTTATACTCTAGTTTAGATCGAAAACGTCATTGCAACATCTGTCATCAATTTGTTTATGCTTTGCTATATCGTTTTACTTGCAAATTTTTGGAGCAAATGGTACTACATAAACTTAGGACACTTTCACTATGTTCGGGAGTTTACTAGGGGAAGGGAAGTGGAAGATAAAATAGGGAAATGATAGATATAGGAAAGGAGGAAACTTGTAATATGTTGTTTGAGAGTTTAGTAAGGGGGACAAATGTGTGCTTAATTCTACTTGTTTGGGAGTTTAAATAAAGAAAAGGCAAGGGAAGGGAAGAGAATATATAAATTTACATAAATAAACTTACATGTTGTTAAAACCTTTTTTTCAAGTAATAAATCAGAAAATAGGGTAAAAATACCATACTTAGAAATTAGTTGTCCATTATAATAATAATAATAATAACTATTATTATTATTAACATATTACATCATTCCTTATATACAAAGCTTATAATAGCTTACTTTTCAAAACAAAATAACATCCATAGACTTCATAGGAAATAATTTAGCACATAATATCAACTAGCTTATTAAAATAATTTAACATAAATATATCAACATAATATAACATGAGCTTATCAAAATAACACACAATCTTATCAACACAATACACACAATATAAAATTAATGAAAAGTCGCAATATAAAAGTCATTACATTTCCAATATATAAAGCCTATCAAAACATGAAACACTTCAATGCAATAACCACATGCTCTTAACAAAATTCAACCACCAATTTCCAGCCAAGTTTTGCCATAAGCATCCAAAAATTAGCAAAGCCAAGTTTGCAATTGCCATCCATAATAAAAAAGTGGGAAAGACAAGCTCACACTTTACTATTGCTACCATGTACCCAAAATGCATCTTCCAAAAGCTAAGACAACTTAGAAAACAAGAAATATAAACCATAATGCTAAAATGTGTAGGTAGCAAGCTAATAAGGAGTCAGGGGTGGCATAGATGCCCTGTTCATCCTCATGGAGGCACTTGCACTTTTCCATTGAACATCCAAGTAAACCCCTTAGATTATCTGGACAATTAATTAGGAATACGTGTACATCGTTAATTTGTTCATTCTCGACCCAAAACCTCAACCAAAAGATTCTAAAGATCATCCTCAGCTACTTTTTGTATACTATTGTAACTCTTTTCAGCACCAACATCCTCCTTCGATTTCTTGCTCTTCTTCTGTGAATTTCCTGACCAGGTCTCCCTGTCGCCACATGACCATCTTCTTTGTCAATTGGTTGTTCATTATTAAAAATCTCCAAGAAAATTTTATCTCTAGCAACATTTCATTGATGTCATCAGTTTTAACAATCAACCTCATTAGTTACACTAAAAGCCCTCCTTTCAAATGAAATATTATACTATTATCACAAAGGAAAAACAAGATCATTCATGCAACAAAAATAAAGGATTAAATGGACATTAGTCTTACAATCATCAAGTATAATACAGATAGAGAATATTAGTCTTACAGTCATCAAGTACAACACAAGTAGAAAACATTAGTCTAACAATTATCAAGTACAACACAAATAGAGATTACATAACATTCAATATAGGAACAAAAATGGATAAGTGCAAAGAAGGAAAAAAAAGGAATGTTTCCATTAAATAAACATGGTACGATGTTAAATGATCGATGTGCCAAAACAATATACATATGTTTATAACATTATCCTTTATCCAAATTCACTTGTGGAACTTATTGTCGACTTCTTAACCTAAATTGCAAGATTGAAGGTAGAAGGATTTAATGGCGTTTAAATAAGGATTATGTAGTAAAGTTGATGGAATATGGTATGCCGGCGAATATGGAGGGACTAATGATTTGTACTCGGGATGAGTACACTTGTGATGGAGTATATTCCGGTGGAGAGGGAGGGTAGTTTTTGGCATTGGGGTAAGGCTCCGATGGTTATGGAGGAGGATTAAGGAATTATGGTCTCCAAGTAAACATTTTTCTCTATCTAGAGAGCAGTGGTATGAAGGACCCATTATCCTCGTCTTGGATATCTCATGGTTTATCTCCTCTTTCAGCATATTGCCAAATTGAGAGATTACAACATGAACACATATTATGAAATGAGGGTGCCTCTTTCTTGGTCCTGAGCCTACACCTCACGCCTTTCCTATTGCCATAGCTCCCTCTCCTACACACTGTTGTTCATCTCATCACTGGAGAAAACATGTCCCTTCCTCACTGAGATGTTGCTTTCATCTATTCCATCCCTTCGGACCAAATAGAGAAAACAAAATCCAAGGCAACAAAGAGCTACGCTGCAAACTGAAATTTGCGCCACATTTTCCCCAGAATATCCTCATTGTCAAACCACACTGTAACTTAGAAACTGTGAAGGTAGAATGGAAATTAAATACCAACCCTTTTTGGCATTGAATTCTAGTGAATTTTTAAGTCTCTTCATTAGACTAGATCACTACCAATTGCTGTCAACAAAAGATCAATATTTCTATAAACCTCCCAAACTTCTCACCGCCATCAGCCAAAGTTTCCTTCTCTAATTGATCCCAAGGAGTTTCTAAGATAGTCAGAGTATTAGCAGGAAAATCATTTTATATTAAAATTTAGGCTACCTCTCTGTTGTTTCATTTTTTAGTGGATGAGGGTACAACTAACAAGTTTCTTAACTTTTATTTGTTATTTTGTCTTAGCAATATCATGGTTCCTTTTCAATCTTTTTATTTATTTTGCAATTCCTAAATGTTTTTGCTAGCAGCATTCTTTTGTCATTGCGTATTAATACAAATTTTCAAATTTATCAGGAAGCTGTCCTGGATACCTTTAGGAAGTTTTTACAGAAAGTCAAGATTGGCGGTCATCTCATAATATGTGGAGATAGGTTGGTGATTTACTATCTTTATCATATGGCTCTTCTGTGCTTGTGTGTGTTTCAAGATGATTCAGTTAAAAAGTGATATTAAAAATTTGTAGGACTGAAATGAGCAAGAACAAGTTAAATACTAGCCATAGGTTAAGTACTATTTACATATTGTTATGTCCAATAACCAAGGACGACTTTATTACTTGCTATGGCTGTTACGCCAACTAACTTGAAGCTATCAATTAACGATGTTGTGTTCAGTGGTAATCATGTGTCTGCTCAGGTGCTAAATCAATATAATAACTAGTGATCCGCAACTAGAATCACTTAATAAGTTTGTTAAGCGCTGTTTACTATTGTTTACTCCAGTGCTAATCAAGTACAACTTTATGATCTGCTATGCATGCTAGGCCAACTAACTTTAAGCAGTCAATTAACAATGCTTTGTCTTTTGCTGATCATGTGGCTGGTACAAACCAATATAGTAAAACTAAAATCACTTAATAAGTTTTGTTGGAATAATTAGGTACTAACTACGTCATGTTAGATCATGAAACGTTACCAATGTGACTAATTAAGTAATGATTCAAGTGTTAATGTCAATTTGAGGCAGTGTGTTTTGCCCTCACATAAAATATTTTGAAAGAGTTGTTTATTCCTTATTGTTTAATCCCACATTGGTTAGGGACAAACTCCTTTGTTTCTTAAAATACTATTAATAACATCGAAGAGAGTGCTAATGATCTTTGTAGGATTTCACATTAACATGGCATCGGAGCCACCCTTTCTCTCATTTCTCCCATTTTCTAAACCCTAGCCGCCACCTTCTCAAACCCTAGCCATCACCTTGTACCCATTTCAAATCCTAGCCGTCAAGGTTATTGATAGCGGATAGCATCACGTAGCGAATAGCATCACGTAGCGGTGATTCATCGCTAAGGCTATTTAGGGTTATTGCGGAAAAATAGAGATAAAAGGCGTAGAGTCAAATAGTGGTCTAATTTAAATATATATACATATTTCAAAAAAATAAGAAAATTTAAAGAAAAATCTAGAAAATCTAAAAGTACATATTTGATGATTTAAAAAGATCCTAAACATGAAATAGACATTTAACCTTCACATAATACCGAAGATGACTGAAGGAGGAGTCAAAGAGTCGTCCTCTTCGAAAAGATGAGTTGAGCAATGAGAGTACTGTAGTAGGAGGAGCTCACTGCGAGAAAAGGTGAGAGGAAGTGCTGAGGGAAAATGTCGAAAATCATGGGAGGCTGTGAGATGTAGTGGTTGCAGGTTGGATATAATTTAAAATATAAACCTCAAACCGCTTTTAAATAATGGTCAAAAAGCAAAATTTGCTCACAATTGCCCGTTATTCACTGCTATGACGCACTATTGTTCGCATTTTCCGAATATTTTGATAGCTCTTTCACAAATTATTTGGAAGAAAATAAAATTTTAAATATGTTGTCTTGTACTTACACACCCAACAAAATGGGGGTGACTGAGCACAAAAACAAAGACTTGCTAAAAATTGTTAGGACATTGTTATTCCATCGTCAAGTCCCAAAATATTTTTTGGAGATACTTTTTTGAGAACCTGCTATCTAATCAATAGATTACCCTCATTTGTCTTACAGAACAAAACTTTAATCTTCTTTTTATATCCAGCTGAAGATGCTTTCCATTACCTATTAAGATATCTTGGTCCTTATGCTTTATTCACACTCATGTCCTCAATGGATTAAATTAGATTTGAAATATCTTTAGGGTATTTTTCTTGAATATTCTAAGATTTAAAAAGGGTACAAATGTTATTGTCCCTCCTTGAATCGGTATATTGTTATAGCCGATGTCACATTCTTTGAGAACAAACGAGGACATGTTGTCTTTGATAACTCCTTAGACCCTCTCGATGATTATGACTACCTTATTATTCGGGAAACCACTATCAGTGTTTCTTTGAAGACTGCTGTACAAACTGATCTACCATCCAAGTATGTGAAATCAGTTTAGGTTTATATAAGACGTACTGCTTTGCAACCTGAGCCATCGTCTAAATCCACCAAAGAGCCTAATATACTAGCAAGGCAAAATGTGACCATACAGCCAAATGCTCAGCCTATTGATGATCTTCCCATTCCCCTCCGAAAGGATAAGAGATATTGTTCTTGATATCCTCTTACATAGTATGTCTCTTACTCTTCGTTATCTCCATTATATTATTCTTTCATATCTTCTTTGGATTCTCACCCGGTTCCCAATAATTTGTTAGAATCTCTATCGAACTCAGGTTGGACATCAACAATGCAAGGAGAGATGACAGCCTTAGAGTGAAATGAGACTTGAGATCTTGTTTTGCTACTAGTAGGGAAGAAAGTGGTTGGCTGCAAATGAGTTTATACCGTCAAAGTAAAGCAAGATGGCTCTCTAGCTCGCCTCAAAGCTCGACTAGTTGCGAAAGGGTATTCCTAGATCTATGGCCTTGATTATATCAATATCTTCTCTCCTGTACTTAAGATGACAACTATCCGCATTCTTATTTCGTTTGCCGCTTGCTATCACAAGCCACTACATCAGTTGGACGTTAAGAATGCCTTCCTTAATGTCATTCCTGATGAGGAGGTTTATATGGAGCAACCATCAGTTTTGTTGCGCACAGGGAGTGTGGCAAGATTTGCAGGTTGAAAAAAATTCATCTATGGCTTGAAGCAACTCCGAGGGCTTGGTTCAGAAGTTTTGCAGCAGTTGTCCAGACCTGTGGTCTTTGTTGAGCTTAGAAAGATCACTCGGTTTTCTGGATGATATGTTTGATTCAGCCATAAAATTGCTACTTAATTGCATCTCTTGCATTATCTAGTAATTTTCATTCCTTAAAGAACCACTTCACCGAAACATTACTTTTTTGTGGTATAGCCTAATGGTTACAGAAGGAAGAAGAAGTGTAAACAAAATGTTAAACTGTTGAAGTATCTTTACACCCCAAAATTTTATGTATATAATTGAGACTGCATCACATCATCATTTATGACAACACTGCCATCAACATAGAATACCAAAATAACCCCCTTATGAAGAGAAATCTCAAAAATAAAAATTAATCTGACTGATAGTACTTTAATCCAACCTTGTCTACCAATGACTAAAGGGACATACACAGGCTGAGAGGGTACCCGAGTTTATCAATAGTTTTGCAGAAGGTACCCTAGTTTATCAATAGCTTTGCAGAAGGTACCCGAGTTTATCAATAGCTTTGCAGAACCTGCATACTTTTTCACATTTTCATTGAGAAACAAATCTGGAGGTTGCTCCATATACACCTCTTCTTTCAAGTTACTTGAAGAAATGCCTTCTTCAGAATGCACAAAAACTCTGAAAAGGAACAAGCTTTGAGAACCTCAACAGATCCTATGTTTACATTTTCTGATACAGAGAAGGAAGAAGAGATGGAAGATATCATCGCAAATCCTGTATTTATCTTGCTTTCGTACCTTGTAAATTCTTGAGTTTGATATGGAGGATAGCAGAGAAAACTGTCGAATTTCATAAGGATTTTTCTGAGTTGCTGCCATTGAATAACCAAATTAAGTTTTGCAGACCCTAAACACAAACCAAAAAAACCAATTCTTGAACAAGATGTGTTTCGTTAGATGATAGTGTGATTAAAGCATGAAAAGTAGTTTTCATTTGCAAGGGCTGCTGCTTATCCTAGTTAGCAGAAAAAAATGCAACTACTTGTTTGTTTTTCTTAATAGAAGATAGGTAAATGAAAGGAGAGAGAATATATGCCATTAATATTGTAATATATCTATGATAACATCTATTATTTCTCCCCCTATTTACATTTACTATTTCAGATATTTTAGCCTGACTTTCAACTTCCATCCAGACTTATGACTTTCTTGAAGAGGGAGCCATCTATTACTTCTCACTTCAACTTGGCAAATGCCACTCTCTTACTTTCGAGGATCAGTTTACTCAAAGTAACCATCTTAAGTGACTGTCGGCTTACACACTTTCATTCTCACGCGTATCCAACCAAACCAACACTCCCTAACTTGTGTTGTGGTAATGTTACATTAGTGCTATAATATGCTACAACTGCTATAAATGCCACTCTCTTACTTTCGAGGATCAGTTTACTCAAAGTAACCATCTTAAGTGACTGTCGGCTTACACACTTTCATTCTCACGCGTATCCAACCAAACCAACACTCCCTAACTTGTGTTGTGGTAATGTTACATTAGTGCTATAATATGCTACAACAACTGCACCTCTAACACGAATTAAACCTTTGTTTTTATCTAATATTATTAATTATTGTTTACTTGAAAATGAGAATCATGGTGTCCAGGCAACAATGAGCTAACTGCTTAGTCTGTTGGTGGTCGACCAGTCTGTATTTATTTTAGTAAGAGGCCCTTTGCCCGTGAGATTATAATCGGTCCATTACTCTCCTCATCATTTCATCTTTTTAATAACATCTGGAAAAATGGTAGAAGCCGATGAGATTCAACATTGAATTAATGCATAATGATCGTTATATATAAGGTAAATCATTATTTGAAATTCACTTTAGATGCAGTTAGGTATAATCATTTAATGAACTTCATTAGAAGGTGGGGTCCAGTGCAGGTGCATATTCTTTGGTGAGCAAATCCATTAAGGAGCGTGTGTCAGACTGCGAGATGGTGCTCACATCACTTGCATCGAAACCTGGCTACAGTATAACAACATACGGAATTTCTAGTAAAAACGATTGGCATGCATCATCAGTTACACCCAATTCACATGGGGGTCAAGATTATGTATTGGTGAGTCTTACACTTTCTGAAATTAGGATCACAATGTTAAAAAAAAGCAATGTTTATGCTGATGTTTAGTCATTCTTATAGTTTTACATTAATTTTTAATAGTAGTTCACTCAATCTAGATGAGTCGTTCAAGTTTGATAAAGCAATTTTGTTTGAGTAGCTTTATTTACTGTAGCATTTACATTAAGCTTCATGAGGTATTCTCTTTCTTTATATTAGCACATCTTTTTTAATATTAGCACACCTTTTACTACTGTGTAAAATAACAAGTAGATCTAGTACATGCCAAACATACAGAGGTTCCAAGAGATTAACATGAAAAACTTTCTGCTTTTGTACTGGCACCCAGTTTTCCTAAATTTGTCATATTACAATGTGGCACACATAGCTGTACAGAAATACTTCTTTTATAATTGATTCTAGTTTTAGTAAATAACTTTTTGGTTGGCTATGTTATGTCTTATCTTGTGGATGAGTATGCACATAGAGCACCTGACAGAGAGTGTCACTCTCATAACATGATGTAGCTACTGAGGGGTGTTAGGCTGAGTAGGAGTTGTATAACATTTTGTAAAGGACATATTGAGCAGAATCCTAGTTGTGTCTGTAAAGCATCTGAACTTGGATATCATTTGCAGTTGCATTTGCTATCATAGATGATCAACTTGTGCTTCCCTATCAACTCTTATGATATTAGTGGCACTTGTATAATGCAATCTGATTCTATTTCTGCACTTAATTTTCATGGAAACAACTCTTTCTGCTTGTTTGCTTTGGCGTTATCTTTGAAGTTTGAAATATTTGTTCCTTTGTTCTTGTTTCCCTTTAATGCTGCTGCCATCTTTCTGTTTGTGAACCCCCCTTCAAAATCATAAAGTGTTGCTGTTTGTAAATGGAAAATCTAACATGTTTTTGAAGGGTATATCATGCAGTTTTAGAGCCAAAAGTAGGGAGGTAAAGATAGAACCCTGATCTGATAACTTTCCTTAAAATTGTTTCTTTGTTATCTTTATGTTTTATGTCAAGTCCTTTCTATATTTATCCTTTTCATCTTGCATGAAATTTGATATTTTTGTATGCAAAAATTTGTTGTTAGAATAATGGTTGGAGTTAAGTTACAAATGTTTAAACAATTGGTTGCAGTATCATAATAACTGTCCAATTGGGAATGTCAGCCTCGTGCTTCCGGGAGTTCATAACGTTCTGAATTCGCTGGCAGTAAGTATACATTCGCCACATAAAATCTTCATATTTTGTAGGCTCCATATTATTGGTGGTTGGCTTTTTTTTTTGCAAGCTTCTTCTTTGTTTGTGCTTCTTTTGAGTATGCGAATCTTAAATAACCAGTGCCTTGCAGTAGTATTTTAATACAAATTACAAACTTTTTACAGTTAACAGACAATTTACTTATATTCTTGTGAATGATGAAATAAAGTTAGCATATTCTTTCTGAAGATCACAAACAATCAAATTTTAATCATGGTTATATTTTAGAAACCCCCCTCAACTATGGATTTTTCTCAGAAACCCTCCTCAACTATTTTAATTTTGGGGGTGTTGTAGATAACCCCCTCAACTTAAAATTTTTGACTTGACTGCCCTCAACTATGGAGTCTCAAGAATCCCTCTTGTTCTTTTCACTTTTCTCAGCATTTGGGGAAAAAAATTCCATTTAATCTGTAGAAGGACTAAATGAGTAACTCCTTTAAGTATTGTTAAACAATTGAACTCTCCTAAAGTATCAGTTTGCCTATTTTCCCCTCATACCATGTGTGCTTCCCAATTGTGGTCCTTTTGTGAAGCCACTGCCAAATACTTAACATATGATGACGTGGCATATCAACTATGTTTGGGCTTTTTTATTGAAATTTACTAACAACTCAAAAACAAAAATTCACAAATTACATATGACACCTTGAAAAAATAGAAATTACAAAAAAAGTCCTAAAAATGATAACCAGCCCCTTGGGAATCAGATATTGAAAAATCCTAAATTTACAAAAAAAACACTGAAAAATTCAAAGTTACCAAAAACACCTTGAAATTTAAAAAAAGACAAATATCCTCTTTAGAATCTGAAAACTGCAAAAGACCCTGAAAATAAAAAAAACAACCTGTAGCTTTTAGAAAATTGCAAAAAACACCTTGAAAAATCCTAAAATGAGAAATGGCCCCTTGAATTTGGGATTGTTTCTAGTTTTCGGATTACAGGGTGTTTTTTGTAATTTCTAAAAAAATTACAGTGTATTTTGTAAAGTTAATTTTTCATGGCCCATTTTTAATTCTTCGATTTTCAGAGAGTTGTTTATAATTTTTTGATTTCAAGATATTTTTTAATATGAAAATTTTTGGGTGTTCTTTGCAATTTTTGAATTTTTTTGTTTTTTGTAATTTCAGATTTTCATGGGTTATTTATAAATTTTAAATTTTTTTGGGTGTTTTCATAATTTTAGAATTTGTTTTAAGGTGTTTTTTGTAAGTTTTAAACTTTTTAGGAGGTTGTTTCAGATTTTTGAAATTTCCCTTAATTATTTGATGGTTACTTCACAAAAGGATCGGATTGGACAAACAAACATAGTATAAGGGGGGACAATAGGCAAATTGATACTTTAGGGAGCAAGTTGGGAGTTAAGATATTTTGTCCTTTATAAAATAATCTCCCGAACGATAAAAAAGGCCCCTACGTATTCATTTTGTTTTCCCCCTCTCTTTCTCTACCAAATCATATGTTTTTTTTACCGTTGCTTTTTTATCTGAATGAGTTCTATGAAGTTTGAAAACTTAATGATGATGCTAATTGGAGTAACATCATAGAGGTATTTAAGGAGAGTACAAAGACGGCGGGGTTTTGTGAGACCCTATGGTTGAGGGTTGTCTACAACACACCCAAAGTTGAGGGAGTTTACTCAAATTAAAGTAGTTTTTTTTACCGGGCAGGGGTTTCAGAGGCACTCTCTATAGTTGTGGGGCATTTTTTAAAAAGTAACCATCAAACATGATTTTTGTTTTTTTAGTATATAATTGATATCTGCATGTACAAAATAAGAAATACTAGGGACTGGGGTGTTCTTATTAATTAAAAAACTACATTTCAGCTTACCAAAATTGCACTTAGCTCAAGTTGCCGAAATTCCCTTTCTAAATAGAACCACATAAGTTCGAATCTACCCTAGTAGAGGCACATTTGATTCTCAACTCAGGGGGCGTTAGGTAGCTTGCAACTATAGCTGTAGTGCAGCTACTACTTGCATGCAATTGAAAAGTTAGAACTGTTATTGCATGTAGCTGTAGTTGTAACTGTTTGGTTTAATTTTAAAATTTTACAACCTATAATTGCAGCTATCTGATTCTGCGTGTTACTTTTAATAAAAGTTATTAGAGAGAGAAATAGGTAAAATGAAGAGAGAATTTTCTCTTTGGCATTAGGTAGCTTGCAACTATAGTTGTAGTGCTATTTCTACTTGGTATGCAATTGAAATGTTGGAACTGTTATTACATGCAGCTGCATATGTAATTGTTTCGTTCAATTTTTAAATTTTATAACTTGCAATTGCAGCTGGTTGATTCTGCTTATTACTTGTAGTAAAAGTTATTAGAGAGAGAAATAAGGAAAATGAATAGATAATTTTCTCTCCTCTATTCAACTATATCTATAATAGGTCTCTTTATATAATTATTACATAAGCAATGTGGGGCTAAATATTAATTCTCTCTCTCTCTCAACACTCCCCCTAAAGTTGGAGCATATGCATTATAATATTAATTCTCTCTCTCTCTCTCTCAACACTCCCCCTAAAGCTGGAGCATATGCATTATACATGCTTAGCTTGTCACAAAAATTCTACTCGTGTTTTCCTGAGAGGTTTAGTGAGAATATCTGCAAGCTGATTCTCTGACGATATATGCTTAGCCAAAATAATTCATCCGTTCATCTTCTCACGAACTAGACGACAATCAATCTCAATATGTTTGCTTTTGTCATGGAACACATGATTCTTAGCAGTATGTATAGCGGATTTGTTTTCAGCATGTAACCTGAGAGGACATTCAGAAGGAAAACCAATTTCTATCAGAAGGTCTCTATTCCAAACTAACTCACAAGTTATGTTCGCCATTGCTAGATACTTAGACTCTACATTGGAACGAGAAACCACACTTTATTTCTTGCTTTTCCAAGAAACAAGATTTCCACTAAGAAAGACATAAAACCAGAAATTGAACGCCTGTCAGAAGATAATCCTGCCCAATCTACATCTGAAAAACCTGCAATTCTTGTGTGCCCACAATCTAAATAAAGAATTCCCTTTCCTGGAGCTTTCTTCAAATATTTGAGAATGCTCTTCACAGCTTCTACATGAGTCGTTCTCGGTGCTGAAAGAATCTGGCTAACTACACTAATAGCAAATGTGATATCTGGCATGATTACTGTTACATAGTTTAACTTTCCCACTAAGCTCCTATATACCCCAACATCCTTCAAAAGCTCCCCCTGACCTAAAAGTAACTTATTCTTCATGTCTATCAGAGCGTTAACAGTTGTACATCCTAACATGTCTGCCTCTGAAAGCATGTCAAGGGCATTTCCTCTGTGATAGGAGAATGTCTTTTCTGGACCTGATAACTTCAATGCTGAAGAAATTCCTTAAGGAATTGAGATCCTTTGTCTGAAAATGCTACTATATGTGCTTCTTTAGGCTTTCAATCCCCTGTGTATCATGACCTCTAATCACAATATCATCCACATATACAACAAGGAGAATCCTCTTCCTTGCATGAGTCTGCCAAAATACTGAGTGGTCTTTTTGTGCTCGACAAAGACCAAACTCTTGAATAGCCGATATAAAATGCCCAAATCATGGTCTTGGAGATTATTTCAAGTTATAAAGTGACATCTTCAAGCAATAAATCCTCGTGGTTGCTCCATGTAAACTTCGTCTTTAAGGACATCATTGGGAAAAACATTCTTGATGTCCAACTGATGAAGAGGAATGTTGCAACTAATGTGATAGGAATGCATACAGTAGTCATTTTTGCGATAGGAGAGAGAGTGTCAAGATAGTCAAGCCCATATAATTGGGAATACTCTTTTGCTACTAATCCCGCCTTCAAGCAAGCAAGAGAGTCATTGAGGTTTAATTTGACAGTGTAAACCCATTTTGTAGCCAACTTTCTTTCATGGAGGAAGAGTAATTAGATCCCAAATATCATTCTGCTCGAGGGCTGTCATCTTGTCTTTCACCATCTTAGCCTAACCTTGAGTAGATGGAGCTTCTGACACAGGCTTAGGAATAGAGAAACCTAAGAAGATAAAAAAGACTGATATGAAGATGATAAGTGAGAGTAAGACAAAATTAGAAATTGGATGTTGAGTGCAATATCTCTTATCCTTGCGAAGAGTGATAGGCAGATCATCAATAGTTACTAGGTAACTGATTAGTAATTGTCTCACTAGATTGTAAGTCAGGACTTGGTACTTAGTCTGACATTGGCATGGAAGCGGGGACATGTCGATGTGTATAAACTTGAAAAGGCTTCTCAAACACAGATGGTTCTGAGTTAGGTACTGCATCAGAATCAGAGTGATTATTAATGATTTGTGTCTCACGAATATTCAAGTAATCATAATCATCCTCAGAAGTAGGAGGAGATGATGTATGTCTAGATTGAGACTCAAAGAAAGTGATATCTGCTGATAAAATATAGTGATCTAAAGATGGACAATAACATCTATAAACCTTTGGAGTGCGAGAATAACCAAGAAGATACCTTTGAGGGACAGTGAATCTAGCTTTGTTTTCTGAGGGCTATGATTATGAGCAAAACATAAGGATCCAAAAATTTTAGGTGGAAGACAAAACATGTCATAATGAGGGTGTATAATTGAGTATGAAATTTTATTATCCAATATCGAAGAAGGCATGTGATTTATTAAGTAACATGCAGTCAAAATGGTTTCTCCCCAAAATTCTTTCGGAACATGTCTATGAAATAAAAAGAGTACGAGCAATATCTAGCAATTTTGATTTTTAGGTTCAGCAACTCCATTTTGCTGAAAGTTATAAACACAAAATGATTCATGCAAAATTCCATTCTGTTCCAAAAACTGAGTGAAAGATTTATCAAAATATTCTTTAGCATTGTTAGTTTTTAATGTTTTTTATTAGTGTTAAATTGGTTTTTAATCTTAGAACAAAAAACTTTAAAATATAACTCTACAA